TATGTAATGGCCTTCTTTGTCTCTTTTGATCTTTGTTGCTTTAAAGTCTATTTTATCAGAGATGAGAATTGCAACTCCTGCTTTTTTTTGCTCTCCATTTGCTTGGTAAACCTTCCTCGATCCCTTTATTTTGAGCCTTTGTGTATCCTTGCATGTGAGATGGGTTTCCTGGATACAGCACACTGATGGGTTTTGGCTTTTTATCCAATTTGCCAGTCTGTGTCTTTTGATTGGTGCATTTAGTCCATTTACATTTAGGGTTAATATTGTTATGTGTGAATTTGATACTGCCATTTTGATGCTAGCTGGCTGTTTTGCCCGTTAGTTGTTGTAGATTCTTCATTATGTTGATGCTTTTTAGCATTTAGTGTGATTTTGGAATGGCTGGTACTGATTGTTCCTTTCTATGTGTAGTGCCTCTTTTAGGAGCTCTTGTAAAGCAGGCCTGGTGGTGACAAAATCTCTGAGTACTTGCTTGTTCGCAAAGGATTTCATTTTTCCTTCACTTATGAAGCTCTGTTTGGCTGGATATGAAATTCTGGGTTGAAAGTTCTTTTCTTTAAGGATGTTGAATATTGGCCCCCACTCTCTTCTGGCTTGTAGTGTTTCTGCCGAGAGATCTGCTGTGAGTCTGATGGGCTTCCCTTTGTGGGTGACCCGACCTTTCTCTCTGGCTGCCCTTAGTATTTTCTCCTTTATTTCAACCTTGTCGAATCTGACGATTATGTGCCTTGGGGTTGCTCTTTTTGCGGAATATCTTTGTGGTGTTCTCTGTATTTCCTGCATTTGAGTGTTGGCCTGTCTTGCTAGGTGCGGGAAATTTTCCTGGATAATGTCCTGAAGAGTATTTTCCAGCTTGGATTCATTCTCTTTGTCACATTCTGATACACCTATCAAATGTAGGTTAGGTCTCTTCACATAGTCCCACATTTCTTGGAGGCTTTGTTCATTCCTTTTTGTGCTTTTTTCTCTGATCTTGGTTTCTTGTTTTATTTCATTGAGTTGATCTTTGACTTCTGATATTCTTTCTTCTGCTTGGTCAATTCAGCTGTTGAAACCTGTGCATGCTTCGTGAAGTTCTCGTATTGTGTTTTTCAGCTCCTTTAATTCATTCATATTCCTCTCTAAGGTATCCATTCTTGTTATCATTTTCTTGAATCTTTTTTCAAATCTTTTTTCAAGGTTCTTAGTTTCTTTGCATTGATTTAAAACATGTTCTTTTAGCTCACAAAAGTTTCTCATTATCCACCTTCTGAAGTCTAATTCCGTCATTTCATCACAGTCATTCTCCATCCAGCTTTGTTCCCTTGCTGGTGAGGAGTTTTGGTCCTTTCTAGGAGGCGAGGTGTTCTGGTTTCGGGTGTTTTCCTTCTTTTTGCGCTGTTTTCTTCCCATCTTTGTGGATTTATCCACCTGTCGTCTGTGTAGTTGCTGACTTTTCGATTGGGTCTCTGAGTGGACGCCCAGATTGTTGATGATGAAGTATTTCTGTTACTTGGTTTTCCTTCTACCAGTCTAGCCCCTCCACTGTACAACTGCTGAGGTCCACTCCAGGCCCTGCTTGTCTGGAGTGCACCTATAGCAGCTGTGGAACAGTGAGGCATGCTACCAGTTTCTTTTTCTGCTATCTTTGTCCCAGAATGATGCCTGCCAAATGTCAGTCTTCTGGATATAGAGGGGTCAGGGAGCTGCTTGAGGAGACAGTCTGTACTTTATAGGAGCTCAGGTGCTGAGCTGTGAGCTCTGTTGTTCATTCAGGGCTGTTAGGCTACTACGTTTAATTCTGCTGCAACAGAACTCATAAAAAAAAACCCTTTTTTCCTCAGATGCTCTGTCTCGGGGGGATTTGTGCTTTCTTTGTGAGTGTCTGTTGTGCTGTCCTGCCCAGCTAGGAGGCAGTCTAGTCACTATTTGCCTGCCGAGTATCCGCCCTGCTGGCGTGAGGTTCACCCTGTTGCTACAGGCTCTGCCCTTCTGCTGCGGTCTCCGCCCTGCTGCCATGGGCTATGCCCTGCAGCAGAGTCTCTCTGTTGTAGCGGGTTGCCTCGGCAATGGCAGGCTGCATCAGCAATGGGCGTGTACCTCAGTAGGGGTGGATTGCCTCGGTAATGGCGGACGCCCCTCCCCCACGGAGCTGCACCGTACTGGGTTCAGCTGTGCCCTAAGGGAACCTCTCCACCGGGAGCGTTTGGAATCTCCGTTTTGTTTGTCCCACTGCGCTACCCCAAAAGCTGTTTTCCTGGAATCTCCTGGGCTGGCTCACTGTCCAAGTCCCGTTCAGTCTCAAGTTCAGCCCTCTCAAGTCTCAGGTTGCTGGTTCAACAGGGCACCCGGACCAGTGCACTTTGTGCGGAGCACTGTGTAACACCACTGCGCTACAGTGCCGGCCGCCGGCCGCACTGGCTGCCGGCTGCACCAGCCAAAACCTCTGCCTGGCGTCCCAAGTCTTTTTTATACCTGGGAATTTCCCCGTTCTGTGGGCAACAAAAATCCGTGTGGAAATGCGACCCTGACTCACCCTCTCCATGCATTCACCGAGAGCTTCAATCCTGGATTGTTCTCACTGCGCCATCTTGAGTCCTCCTCCAATTTTTTTTTTTTTTCTTTTGAGACAGAGTTTTGCTCCTATTGCCCAGGCTGGAGTGCAGTGGCACAATCTTGCCTCACTGCTAACTTTGCCTTTTGGGTTCAAGGAATTCTTCTGCCTCAGCCTCCTGAGTAACTGGGATTACAGGCACCTGCCACCACACCTGGCTAACTTTTGTATTTTTAGTAGAGATGGAGTTTCACCATGTTGGCTAGGTTGGTCTTGAACTCCTGACCTTGGGTGATCTGCCCACCTCAGCCTCCCAAAGTGCTGGGATTTCTTATGTTTTCATTGCAAATAAGATTGAAGCAAAACTGCAAAAGAATACTTTGCCCCTGAAATCTTGTTCTAAGTGTGTTACACTTAGAGTACTTACAACATCAAGCACTCAGTGAAAAGGACCTTTAAAAATCAGCCCCAAATCAGGGCTTTGGCATCCTAGCTTTCCCTGGAGTAATAGGCAGGCTTGGATGATGCAAAAAATTGCTGTGACATCATCAGAGTCCATCAAAATTTTGGCCAGGGGAATTTGGGATGTAGGAAATATGAGGTTTAAGAGATCCTTTTCATGTAGCTCTTAGGAAGACAATAATATTATTCTCTACACATTGATCCACAATTCCAACAAAGTCCTGTCCATTCTTTCACTCAAATGTCTTGTCCAAAGGCTATTACATCTGAAGCAGTTTGTCTTTTCCAATATTTTCGAAGGCTACTCAATACTTTAGGTCTTCAACACGCTGGAGAAATATACATCCTAGCCTCTTTGCACCTTAAAGAAATCAAGGCAAGCTATACTCTTCCTGCATGATCTGAAGAGGAGTTACAGCTCTGGGACATTCAGGGTGAACTTGGCTATCCAGTGGCTCATAGGTATAACCTTCATAGCAGTTGTTCTTCCTGCCTTTCGGAAGAATCACACAGTGAACCCGCTATGTCGGGATTTGTAATTTCCACCTTCAGAACTTCAGATAAAGGAGGTTTGGAGTGGGGCCCTGAAATCTGTAGCTTATCCCAAGCCTCCTGGTGATTTCTATGCAGGAGGCCTGGGAACCACATTTTGGGAAACAGCTATTTGCCAACTCCTGTCTATATTTCCTTCAGTACTGGGCACATTTAGCCCATTAAAGGTCGGGGGAGGGGTCTTTAATATACTGCATCACTGACAGGATGATTGATTGCTCTGTGGGTCACTGGAATAGAGATGCACACAAACATTTGTGGAATGTCATCAATGGTATTTTCAAGAAGGCCCATCAGAAATGAAAATATGTGCAGTAGTGTGATAATACCATTGCCAAATTTTAAGGAAAACTTGGGCATTGCTATTTTAATTACGAGAGTTCTAGAACACATTTTGATATCTGATAAGCAAGCTTTTAATCTTCTTCAGGTATGTCCTGTCCTGTTTCTTCTTGTCTTATATATATATATATTTTTCATATTTATAGATGTATGTATGTATTCTTGGTTATTCTTTAAAAATATATATTACACAATTCAGGGGCTTTTAGTATATTCACAGGATTGTGTAAGCATTACCACAACTACAATGTTGTCATCCCAAAAGGAAACTCTGTCCCTATTAGCAACACTCCGCATCGCTCCAGGCAACCATAAATCTATGCTCTGCCTCTATGGATTTGCCTATCCTGGACATTTCATATAAATGGAATCATGCAATACATGGCCTCTGTGACAGGCTTCTTTCACTTTGACATCATGTTTTCAAGATTCATCCTGGTCACAGCATGCACCATACTTCATTTCTTTTTGTGTCTGCATAATATTCCAGTGTGTGGACAGACCACATTTTGTTTACCCATTAATCAGTTGATGGACATTTGACTTGCTCCCACCCTTTGGCTATTGTGAATAGTGTGTTGTTAGGAACATGTATGTGCAAGCTTTTATGTGAACATATGTTTTCATTTCTCCTGAGTATACGTCTAGGAGTGAAATTGCTGGGTCATATGACAACTCTAATGTTTAACTTTTGAAGAACTGTCATATTGTTGTTCATAGCCATTGCACCATTTTACCCGGCCACAAGGAGTATATGAGGGTTCTAATTTCTCTACACTCTTGCCAGCACTTGCTATTTTTTGTCTTTTTTATTGTGGTCATCCTAGTGGGTGTGAAATGGTATCTCATTGTGGTTTTGTTTGCATTTTTCTTATGACTAATGATGTTGAATATCTCATTATGTGTTTTTTTTACTGTTTGTCTTCTTTGGAGAAATGTCTATTCAAATTGTTTGCACATCTAAAATTAGACTATTTGTCTTTTTACTGTTTATTTGTAAAAGTTCTTTAGTCTGAATACTAGGCCCTTATCAGATGTACGATTTACAAATGTTTTCTCCCATTCTGTGGGCTGTCTTTTTCACTTTTTTTCTTCCTTCTTTTTGTAGGGGGAAATGAGGCCTTGCTATCTTGCCTGGTCTTGAAATCCTGTGTCCATGTGACCCTCCAACCTCAGCCTCCCAAGTAGCTGGACTACAGGTATGGGCTGCTGTGCTTGGCTGCACTTTTAAAATGGAATGCTTTGAGGCATGAAAGTTTTAAATTTTTAATGAGATCCAATTTATCAATTTTTTTCCTTTGGTTACTTGTGCTTTAGGTGTCACGTATAAGAAACTGTCACCTAATTCAAGATTGCCAGCATCTATTCCTGTGTTTTCTTCTCAGGGTTTTACAGTTTCAGCTCTTACATGTAGGAATTTGACCCATTCTGAGTTAAGTTTTGTATATGGTGTGAGTTAGGGGTCCAAATTGATTCTTTTGCATGTGGATTTGCTGTTGCCCCAGGACCATTTGTTGAAAAGACTATTCTTTCTCTGTTGAATTATCTTGACATTTGTGTTAAATATCAATTGATCATAGATGCATGGATTTATTTCTGGGCTTTTAATTCTTTTCCATTTATCTATATATTTGTTCTTATGCCAGCTCTGCACTGTCTTGATTACTGTAGCTTTATGGTAAGTTTTAAAATTGGAAAGTATAAATTCTTCAACTTTGTTCTTTTTCAAGATTATTTTGGGTCCCTTACATTTATTTGGGTCCCTTACATTTCCATGTAAATTTTGAGAACATCTGGTCAATTTATGCAAAAAAGGAAGTTAGAATTTTTTGGAGTTGTGTTGAAGCTGTAGATCAGCTTGAGGATTATGTTCATCTTAACAGTATTTGATACAAAAACATGGGATGTTTTTCTGCTTATTTAGGTCTTCAATTTCAACACTGTTTTAGAGTTTTCTGAAAAGTCTACCCACATTTCTCTTGCTGAAAAACCGACTTGTCTTGTACTTCTTTTGTTAAATGTATTCCTAAGTATTTTATTCTTTTTGTTATTATTATAAAGAGACTTGTTACCGTATTTTCATTTTTGGACTATTCATTGCTAGTTATAAAAACATAACTGGTTTTTGTATATTGATCTTGTTTCTTACAATTTTAACTTGTTTATTAGCTCTATTTTTTGTGGAAAAAATAATATTTAGAATCAGCTTGCCAAGGTCCCCAAATAAATTTGTTGAAATTTTAATTGGAATTGTATTGGATTATACACAATTTATGGTTAAGTTGCCACCTTTGTAACATTATATATCCCTATTTATGGTCATAAAATGTCTCTCCATTTATTTAGGCCATCTGTAATATCTTTTAGCAACATTTTAATTTTCTACACACAAGTTTTGCACATTGAAATCTTTTATTAGATTTATTCCTAGGTAGTTTGTATTTTTTCTACACATTTACAAATGTGTCTTAAAAGGCAACTTTAAAAAACTTTTTAGTTTCACGGGTACAATTGCAGGTTTGTTATATAGCTAAATTACGTGCCATAGAGGTTTGTTACACATATTATTTCATCACCAGGTAGTAAGTATAGTAGCCCATAGGTAGTTTTCAATCCTCCCCCTCCTCCCACCTTCCACACTCAAGTAAGCCCCAGTGTTATTGCTCCATTCTTTTTGTCCATGTGTACTCAATGTTTATCTCCTACTTATAAGTAAGAACATTTAATATTTGGTTTTCTGTTCCTATGTTAGTTCAATTAGGATGATGGTCTCCAGCTCCATCCGTGTCCCTGAAAAGGACATGATCTCATTCTTTGTCATGGCTGCATAGTATTCCATGGTGTATATGTAACATGTTTTCTTTATCCAGTCTACCATTGATAGACATTTAGGATGAATCCACATCTTTGCTATTGTGAATAGTGCTGCAATGAACATGTGTGTGCATGTGTCTTTATGGTAGAATAATTTTTATTCCTTTTGTATATACCCATTAATGGGATTGCTAGGTTGAATGGTAGTTCTAAGTTCTTTGAGAAATCACTGTTTTCTACAATGGCTGAACTAATTTATATTCCCACCAGCAGTGTATAAGCATTCCCTTTTCTCAGCAACCTTACATTATCTGTTATTTTTTTTAAAAGGTAATGTTTTGAAATGGTTTTTGTTGTATATGAAATACAATTGCCTTTTTCATATTGATCTTATAGTCAGTAACCTTGCTAAGCTTTTGCATTATGTTGAGGAATTTATCATCATGGGTGGAATCAGAGTCTACAGAGGGCTGAACAGGAAGAGCAGTATTGGCCCTGCCATTTCTTCTAGTCAAAGTTGAGGGGGGCAGTTAATGGAGTTAGACAGAAAGTGTCATGGCACCATGCAATGGAGGATTCATTTTGTGTTTGTACTCAAGCAGGAAGAGACTACTCCTCAAAACCACCAAAGAAACCTATTTTCTGATACAGAGATTCAGGGACCACAGTCCACAGGCATGGGTGAGTCTGAGTGAAAAGACAGATGACATAATCCTCCACTCACCAAGCCAAGACCCAGAGCACCCTGAATTTGGAATTAGGCCCTGAAGTGAGGAAGTAGGTAGGGCAATTGCCTCGCATAACTTCTAGAATCCACATTGCATTCTAGAATTACCATTTACTGGGCACCTATTCTGGCCCAGCCGAGTTCTAAGCCTTTTACTCCAAGGACTTATCTGATCCTGCCGACATCCTTACTAATATATTATCCCTGTTTTTGTGATGAGGAAACTGAAGCTTGGAGAGATGAAAGGGCAGGTTAAAGTCACCACATAGTAAGCAGCAGAGCAGCGGCAGATTCTAGAACCCTGGGTCTCAATGGCTGTACTATATGACTTCCCAGCCAGGAACAGAGAATCTGAAACAGTGAACACCCCAGAAAGATAAAAAGACAGAGGCTCTATCCTGATTCCCTCTGAATTTTCACTTCTTAATACTTCTAATAAATCACTTGAAATTACTTTTTCTTTTTTGAGATAGGGTCTTGGTCTGTCACCCAGGCTGGAGTGCAGTGGGGTGATGACAGCTCACTGCAGTCTTGAACTCCTGGGCTCATGTGATTCTCCCACATCAGCCTCTCAAGTAGCTAGGACTACAGGCATGAAATACCATGCCTGGCTAATTTTTTAATGTTTATTTTTGTAGAAATGGGGATCTCACTATGTTGCCCAGGCTGCTCTCAAGTCCTTTCTTGTCCTCCCTCTTCATGATGCTGTCTCCTCCATCTGAAAAGTCTTGCCACATTTCTCTTGTTGAAAAACCTACTTCAAAATCTGGTGTACCATGGAACAGAATAGAGAGCCCAGAAATAATGCCACACACCTACAATCACTTGATCCTCAGCAAGGGTGACAAAACCAAGCAATGGGGGAAAGGACTCCCTATTCAATAAATGGTGCTGGGAGAACTGGTTAGCCACATGCAGAAGATTGAAACTGGACCTCTTCCTTATACCATATACAAAAATCAACTCAAGATGAATTAGAAACTAAATGTATAACCAAAAACTATAAAACCCCTAGAAGATAACCTAGGAAATACTAATCTAGACATAGGGCCTGGCAAAGATTTCATGACAGAGATGCTAAAAGCATTTACAACAAAAACAAAAATGGACAATTGGGACCTAATTAAACTAAAGAGCTTCTGCACAGCAAAAGTAATCATTAACAGAGTAAATAGACAACTTACAGAATAGGAGATAATATTTACAAACCATGCATCCAACAAAGGTCTAATACAGAGAGTCTGTAAGAAACTTAAACAAATTAACAATAAAATAACCCCTTATTAAAAAGTGGGCAAAGGACATGAACAGACACTTTCAAAAGAAGATATACATGTGGGCAACAAGCATATGAAAAAATGCTTAACATCACTAATCATCAGAGAAATGCAAATCATAATCACAATAAGATTACATCTCATACCAGTCAGAATGGCTATTGTTAAAACGTCAAAAAATAACAGATGCTGGGGAGGTTGCAGAGAAAAGGGAATGCTTATATATTGCTTGTGGAAATGCAAATTAGTTCAGCCATTGTGAAGAGTGGTGTAATAATTTCTCAAAGAACTCAAAACAGATTACAATTTGAGCCAGCAATCCCATTACTGGGTATGTATCCAAAGGAATAGAAATTATTCTACCATAAAGACACATGCACTTGTATGTTCACTGCAGCACTGTTCACAATAGTGAAGACATGGAACCAGCTTAAATGCCCATAAACAGATAAAGAAAATGTGCTTCATATATAAACGGAATAATACGCAGTCATAATAAGGAATGAGATTATATCATTTGCAGCAATATGGATGGAGCTGGAGGCCACCATCCTAAGCAAACTAACACAGGAACAGAAAACCAAATACCAATTATTCTCACATATAAGTGAGAGCTAAACGTTGAGTACAAATAGACACAAAGAAGGGAACAACAGATAATGGGGCCTATGTGAAGGTGGAAGGTGGGGGGAGGGAGAGGATTAAAAAACTATCTTTTGAGTACTATACTTATTACTTGAGTGATAAAATAATTTGTACCCCAAACACCCACAACACACAATACCTACATAACCTGCACACGTACCCCTTAACCTAAAGTAAAAGTTAAAAAAGGTCTGGCGTATTCCATTGAATCTAAAACATTACTGATTGTAAGATGCACATCTGAGGAGAAAACATTCTGCCATTTAAACGTTGATGCAATTATTTCTTTTAAAAGCATTGGCATAATGCTTATCTTAAAAATTCACTTGGAATTTTTATTTCATTAAAAGAGCCCTTCTAGACATAGATTTTATCATTCATCCCTCTTGTGTATAAAAAGAGTAACACATTGGTTAGGTTAGTCCTAAAGCTTTTTTACACTCAGAGACTGAGTGTTTTGAAGACTTTTTGACTCAGTTGTTGTCTGGTTTTCTTTTCTTTTCTTTTTTTTTTTTTGAGACAGAGTTTCACTCTTGTTACCAAGGCTGGAGTGCAATGGTGCAATCTCGGCTCATTGCAACCTCCGCCTCCCGGGTTCAGGCAATTCTCCTGCCTCAGCCTCCTGAGTAGCTGGGATTACAGGCACACGCCACCGTGTGCAGCTAATTTTTTGTATTTTTAGTAGAGATGGGGTTTCACCATGTTAACCAGGATGGTCTCGATCTCTTGACCTTGTGATCCACCCACCTCGGCCTCCCAAAGTGCTGGGATTACAGGCGTGAGCCACCGCGCCTGGCCAATGTCT